ATTTCAAAACTTGTATTTTTATAAGAACTGTAATTTCGCTTTTCTAAATTGTCGAGTGGTAATTTAGAAAAAGGTTGCCATTAAAATGTTCATTGGGACAAACATGGATCATCTATCTCTTTAGGATTAGGACCATTGTTAGAGGATAACAATAACTCGTCGTTGTATAATTACCCTAATATAACCCCACATCTTATGAGTTTTCCTGCCTCCACCTTTTTGGGTTTTTCCTACAAGTAACCAATCCTAGACAAATCGATCCCTCCTCTGCCAAATTTGGCACATCCCTCTCATCCCCAATACCTCACCACTTACCAATCTTTCCAAAAAACCTCAGATATATTCGAGAACTCTGTAAGCAAAGGATAAATTTTAAACTTCTTTTTACATTAAACATAACGCGAAATTTCTAACACGATGCACACAAACATCTGTAATTTGACATTATTCAAAAATATAGTTGTAATTAGAGTTGAATTTCTCTAATTGTTGTTATTATTCTTAACCTTTCTGATAATTAACAAAAGAGTTTGATTATTTCAGAACCACACATTAAAATAAATGTGTGGAATTAACAATTTGTTTGAAACCGGCAATTGAACACACTGTCAATCTATAAAAAATATACCCAGAAAATTTTCTAAACAGAAATTTAAACACATATTTGAAATATATAATTGTCTTTTACGGAAGATGAAAAAGTGAAAAATAATGTTTATTTGTTTGCAATATGAATGGAAGGAGAAAAGAATAAAAGCTAAAAGAATAAGCTAAGGAGGCCTGAGGTCTCCCAGAGAAAGTAACAGTATCCGAATGAATGGATTCCGGGCGAGGTGTGCGAGCAGCATCTTGTAGGATTGTGTTCAGAATGAACGCAAACTGTGAGGGTAATTTGCAACACCGGCAATTTACATAATTAGCAGTTCTGAACTCGCGGCCCCCGGCCTCCCTCTCTCTCTCTATTCTCTCCTGGTTTATCTCTCTTTCGATCCCATCCCAACCCAATGAGCCTCTCTCCTTCATCTGCCCTTTGGCATAGAGATTTTTTAACTCTTCCCCTAGGCGACAAATTTTTTTAAGTAAAAAGAACTTTTATAACTGGTTTACAGAAATGCTTACATTTCTTATGTCTGAAAAATAATTCTTTTGATAAATATTTTTTATAATATTCTTTTAAATTACGTTTCAAATTGTGCTCTTTTTGGAAATTATCCAAGTTGAAATTTAGAAGATACTAAAATCTCCACATAATCGGACCAAATGGAATCTGTGGGGACTCATAGAGGGTCTAATAGTAATATAGTAATACCCAACATCTAAAAGTGAGTCTACATGGAGAGAAATATATCTAATGTTTATAGTATAAGTAGGAAACTGATTTCTGCGTTTCTAGTATGAACATTTCCTTTAAAAAAGCAATAAAGGTTTTAATATTGTAGGTATGATTAGTGATTATACTAGAAAAGTATTTTTCGGTATTAGACTCTTGCAACTGAAGATTAGGCCACGCCCGCTTTATGTATATGTATCGTACGTGGCGGGCGTGGCCTAATCTTCAGTTGCAAGTCTGGATCTCTGTAAGAGAAGTCACCCTCGGACCTTTATTAGCAAGACCTTTATTTTGTCACAGACCTCTATAAGCGAGAGTCGTGACGATATATTTTAAAACGTTATTAAACAAGTCGACAATCTTAAAGTAGAAAAAGCAAAGAAGAATAACTAATTTTTTAAGAATTTATTAATAAATAAAATATTTCAGTTTAACTCATACACTGTAACTTTTAAGCTGCTTCCAAAAAGATATGAAAAGCATATCCCAGTGGTCACAGACATCCGTGGGATATCCTTTTCAGAACGTTCTTAGGACATTAAAAAGAAACATACTTAAAATATCCTAAAGATATCTTAACAATGTCATAAACAATATATCCTCTGAAGATGTCTTAAAGGCGTCTTGACAAAATTCTATTTGTCTGGCCTGAAGACATCCAAATGTGTCATATGCGGGTATTTTCAGGAAGTATTTGGAACATTCTCAGAAAATGTTGAGAACATTTTTGGGACACATATATGAGACATTCTCTGGAGATGTTTAGAACGCCCTAAAATGTTCCACGAAATTTCCAAATGTGTTCAAAGCTCGTTCTGAACATCTCCAAAGAATGTCTCATATGTCCTAAAAATGTTCTCAACGTGTCATGAGAATGCCACAAACATGTTCTAAAAATGTCCTTAAAAATTATTGTGTTTATTGAAACTTTAAGTGTCATTGAATAAGAACAAAGAAAGAAAAATGTCCTTAACAATTCTTGTGTTTATTGAAACTTTAGATACGTCACTAAATAAGAACAAGACAACAAATTTTTTTATTTGGTCAGTTCCATAAAAAATCAGATCCGCTGTTTTCAAATTCTTAAATCTAACTTTTGATTTATCATTACTAACTTCAGAAACCCCCAAATAACAAATTCTAAAGAAATCCAATTATGTAAATTGATTGTTACTATAATTTTCCAATTCTATCTACTTTGACTATTTGAGGTAGCGATTTCTATAATGATAAAAATAGGTTCTTCGTGATTATCAATCATCTTTCAATTCTGAGCTTTAAAGTTAATAATTTAAACTTTCATTTGAGCCCTTTTATATATTTTTATTATGTTGCGTTTTTATTTTACAGTGCTTCAAAAAGAGCTAAAAATACGATTTCTTGACACTTCAATCTTGCTTTATATGGAACTGACCGAATGGAAAAACTTTGTTTGGCATATTCTTATTCAGTGACACCTAAAATTTAAATAAACATAATAATTTGTAAGTATTTCATGTAAGATTTCACATAAGATTTCCTATCACATATTTCACACAGGATTTTATACGGGATATGACATGATATTTTATTAGAGATCCAATGAAGGAATTTTTAAAGGGTTAAAAATTATTTAATTAAAAATTAAATAATAAATTGTATTAGTTTTCAGCTCTTATAGGCTTCCGCAATGCTTTAATATATACAAGGAGATCCTTGTATCTTAATGATAAGAGAGAATAATTTCTTTTTGAATTGAGAAACATTACAATAAATGTATTGTAGCTGAAATCCTAGATCTAATAACAAATCACATTTACACAGTATATGATCTTCCCAGAAGCTTCCAGTGGAATCTTCGTAATCTTCCTTTGAAAGTTTAAGGGAAGCTTATTCCTTAAATCTCAAACTGTTCGCCTTAAAGGAAGAAGTAAAGGAAATTTATTCTTTATTCCATAAAAATAAACAAAAGCTAGACATTTTGAGCTTTAAGAAAGATTTCCTTCAACTGTCAAAGAAAGATTAGGAAGATTCCACTGGAAGGTTCTGGAAAGATCTTGTATTGTGTGGGTATTAATGTGGAAATTTCTAAAGATTCGAAACCTACATAATATAATATTAAAAAGTCTGTAGCTTCTTCAGACAATAATTTATTTGTCATTTATCTTAAAGTTAATATTAATATAATTAATTCATGTAATTTAGCATTATGTGCAAATAAATTTTCCATTCACACAATTCATAAAGATTTAATTCCAATTCTTTAAGAATACCTTTTAATATCCATAAATACTTGATTACGATTACAAATTTATTAATTTAACTTCTTTCACATATTTTTGTTAAGTAATGGTCTAAATTAATGGGAGTAATTATAATCTTTCTATCTTATTCATCATAATAAAAAAAATTAGGAAGACAAAAACAAAACTCGCCCACGTTTGTTCTAGTAGCAATAAATTTCATAACAAATTGAAATTATTCATTAAGTGTGAATGGATCTGTTCAGCGAATAAAAATGAATGAAAATTGACTTAATACGTATAAATTAAAGTTGTGTAAATATGGGAATTTGTAACTTTAAATTTATCCAATCAAGGCCGCAAAGAATTGCGAAATTTGAATAGACACGCTATCCTTTTAGACACTCACTTAATTACGAACAGAAAGTATCCACGATCATCCTGCTGTAATTACTTCTTTGCAGCAAACGATTATCAGCTACCATCACTCCTTGCGACCAGTAAATGAACTTTCAAACTTGCTGGACCGCTACCGCGCGAGGGAAAAAGAATTACGAAAATGTGTACCAAACAAAATTAAAATCTTATTTTTAATTAAAATTTAAAATCAATTCTCAAAAAAAGTAAATCTAAACAGAATGAAAAAAGTAATTTTAAATTGATCGAAAATTTGTATTCTAAATCAAATCTGAAAAAAACTGAATACTAGCATCTTAAGAAGACTTTCAAGTCAAGGATTTCAAAAAATCGATTTTTACTTTTTTGCTTTAAAACATTCCTTAGTACCTATCATAAAATTACTGTTCCAAAACACTTTTGAAAACTGGGAGACACTTTACTCGAAATCTACTGAACCGATTTTCAAAAACTAAAAACCATTAGATTCTTTATCTACAAAACTAGACAACAAATCTCAAAAATTTTACATTTTTACTCCCTGTTATTTTCTGTGGGGTAAATTGACCCAAAGACAAATCATTTTTTTCGACTCTTTAAGAAAAATGTATATAAAGAATTTTAAACATTTAAAAAAATTGTTTTTGATGTTTGTTGTCTAGAAAGAACCCTTTTAAAGAGAATAATGCTCCAGAAAGTCTCCTTCAAATATAATTTCATTTCAATTTTATACAAAATTTTCTTTAAACAACTTTCTTTAAGTAATGAATAGACAAAATAAATTATCAATTTATTCAACAATATTAAATTATTCACTACGTGATTAATAATGGTGCTGACGTTGAAATTAAAACGAGGAAATGTTAATAATCTAATTTTAATTATAAATACGAAAGGTACTATTGAAATGATAAGCAATCACTATTAGCACGAAAATGTGAATAAATTGTACAGCAAAGCATATTACATCTAAAATGTAACTGGTTGAAAGTAAAAAAACACTTGAATCAATACATGCACGAGGGAAATAAATAAAAAGAGAACAGTCACAATTATTGTGGAGAGGTTGATATAATTTATTTCGCTCTATCATTAGAACACGAACTGAGTCTTTTTATATTATCGTATAGAATTTTATGTCTCGAGTTCGTCAAGAGAAATCACAATTTCTTATTTACATATTATTTACAAGCACAAAAGCCACTTGTCCGAAAGCGTATACTTGCGAAAGTTTTTGTTAACTTCTAACTTTTTTGTTGCAATGATCATACAATATTTTTCACAAGAATAACAAGCACAAACAAACTTTTCTAAAAAATAACATTTTTACATTTACATTTTTTTAAAATTTTGTCACATTAAATAAATAGCTATTTATAATAATAAATAGATAATTTATCACACTATAGATAAAAATTGTCTTATTATAGAACACTGGAGAATTTAGAATTTACAAATAAAAATAATTGATTTTTTTTTTGAAGAATTAGAATCAAAATTCAATTAAAACAGTATAAATTCTTCTTTCGCAGGTCACAAGTTCGAAGTTGGCTTTTTCGAATAATTTAATAAAATTGTCAGTACAATTGAAACATCGATTTGACAAAAAGGAATACTGCTCGCCGAGAACATCGACTTAAATATTGTAAATACATCGTGTTACACTGGGTTTAAAATATTAAGTTTGGCACTTAATGCTTTTAATTTTTATGAAATTCTAGTCACTCTTTCTCTTTTCTTCCTGGTATTATTTACAAAATAGACACGAAGGATGCTTTATGATTCATTCGCGTAAGTGGCGCATTTAATATCTATTATATATATGTACAGTTACCTATGTCTGTACTCGAATTTTTTATGGGAGTCACATATGGCAAGATATATGTACATATATCAGTTGAACGTTGATTGCGTCCTAATCTTTGGAAGCAAATAAATAATCTTTTTTTTCAGTCAAATTTAAAAATTTCACATTCATTGTGATCAATTTTTTTTTACAACAAATGCCAAGGATACTTTTAAAAAATTCACAAGAAATTTTTTTAGACATTTTCGAAACTAGTCTTCTGTAACCAAAAATCTTTGATAATTCTAAGAATCGTTAAAGAAATTCATTAATTTTTCGTCGTCTATTTTCTAGTTCCACCGAAAATAAGACCAACCATTCTGTATAAGGAGACTACTTTGTCAGACAATACTGTCCCTTAACAGAAATTCAAGGCAAACAAAATTTTTGAGAAGTATCCGTATAAAGTGAACTATCGAGAAATCTTCATAATTATTTTTAAAAAAAACAATTTTTTTTTCTTATTGAAAACTATTTTCACTTGAAGCTTCGTAGTCTTTTCTCTAATTTCTGGATTTCTAATCCAGACATAATACGTCCAGCTACGCTTCGGACCCACTCGAACATTCATCAGCTTCCGGATCTATATGCTCCTCTTCCTCATCCTCAGGATGATAGTCGCCAGTTTCCTGTTGCCATTTGCTCACGTGATGAGTGTTTTTATTACCATTATTATTACTATTTCCTCCCGATTGTTGCTGTGCTTTCGCCTCCTCCTCCTGCTGCATTCTTTTGTGCTTCGTTCTCCGATTTTGGAACCAGACCTTCACCTGTAATCATAAAAGTAGTCATTCTTTAAATTATTTTCTATAAAAAATATTAATTATCATTTTAGTTATAAAAATATTAAAATAATTCATAGTTTGTAATCAGATTAATAATTAGTTTAATTTAATCTAGAATTTTAATCAATTAGAGAAAAGTGAAGTAAAATTCTTCCAATTTGAATATTATTTAACATTATACCGGGTTGCCACGCTTTTTCTCATTTCAAATTCCCTGACTTTTCCAGGTTAAAAACGGAGTTTGACACAAAAATTTTATTTCAGTTTTCCCTGACTTTCCCTTGATTTCCTGACAAAATTCTTACTTTTTCCCTGACTCTAAAGAATATTCTAATTCAGTCTATAAATTATTACTCAGAAAAATGTTCTATTACTTCTTTTTTTAAATAAATCTTAATTCCATTAGAATTAAGATTTTCAAAATTTTCAAATTCAAATATCTCAACCTTTTTTGAAATTCAACAACTTCTGAGAATATTTTATAATAATTAAAGATGGCCGATTGATAAAATCATTATTTTATATTATAAAAATATTGTTATTGCAACTTCTTCAAAATTTTTTCCATCATTTCAATTCAATTATTATTTTCTACAATTTTAAACTAATATTCTTCTTTATATCAATTATTTTTAATATTTTTTTGACAAAGTTCTTTGACAATTTTCTAATCCATTTGTTTACAGTTCAATTTTACGAAATTTCGATTATAAGGTATATGTATTCCAAAATTTTTCAATGAAATATATATTAGAAAATAAAAACTTGAAGTAATTTCAAAAAAAAATTCCATTAAACTTATTCAAAAAAATTAAATCTACACAATTTTTAGTTAAAAGTATGAAAAATTCAAACTTTCAAAGATTATAATCTGATATCTTTTTAAAATTCAATTATTTCTTTTTATATCTAAAAATTCGAGCTATAATACTTTGCATTTAATTATTATCTAAAATTTTTAATAAAATTATTCATTTTTAAATCAATTTTTATAAGAAAATTCTACGAGAATTCAATTATTTAAATACAAAAATAAATAATTTATTGATGAACTGTTTCTCAGAAATGAATTCTCATAAATAATTTTATCAAAAAAATTTTTAAATAATTAAAATTCTTTTGAAGAATTTTAATAAAATTTTTAAGAATAATTTCATTTTTCAAGACATTTGATTAAAATTGCAATAAAAATAATTGAATCGCAGTAAAAAATTGGATTAATTATGAAAATAATAAAATTATTGCGAAGAATTGAATTCTGAGAAAGAATTTTATCAATAAATTTTTAAATAATTAAAATTCTTCAAAAGAATTTTAATAAAATTTTTAAAAATAATTTCATTATAAAAAAATTGTACATAATTGAATGCCCATGAAATTTTTATTATCTTGGTGAATTTTATTATTTATAAAGATAATTGATATTTTCACCAGAATTTTTGTAAATTTTTAACCATAATTGAATTTCTGCGAAGAATTTTATTACAATTTTTAAAAATAATACCTAAATTCTAATAAATAAATTATAGTAAACCTTTTTAAGATAATTGAATTCCTTTGATTAATTTTTAATAAGTTTCTATTTTTAAGAATAATTACATTTTTCGAGGAATTCAATTAAATTATATTAAAAATAATTGAAATTCTGCGATGAGTTTTATTATTTTCTAAAAAAATTATTGAATTCCTAAAAAGAATTTTATTAAATTTTTTTTAAATAATTGAATTCTTTACTTTTGTAAAATTTGATTAAAATAGTATAAATATTAAAAATCATTGAATTGAGGAAACTTTTTGAAAATAATTGAATTTCGAAGAAAAATTTTATTATTTATAAAGATAATAATTGAAATTTTGACGAGAATTTAACAAAATTTTGAAAATAATTGAATTTCTGCGAAGAATAAATTTTACTTCTTTAAAAATAATTGAATTTCTGCAATTATTTTTAACTGATCCACAATTCAGTTTCTTTTTGCGTTTTTAAGTAAAATTCTTTTATGAATCCATTATTTTTAATAATTAATTAAATATATATTAACCCCTTCACTGTATGATATGAATATCAATGAATATTCTAAATTTTTTGGGGCCGCTGAATCCGAATCTTTGATCAGAATTAAAAAATTCAAAATAGCGGCTTCAAAATTTTTAAAGTTTATGAATTTGGCTGAAAATGCGCTCATTCGGGGGTTTGAGGTCTTTAAATTCTAATCTTTAGTCAAAATTTAAAAATTCAAAATGGTGAACGAAAAAAATTAAAATCCGTAAACTTTGAAATTTTTTGATCGCCATTTTGAAGCCACCATTTTGAATTTTTGACCAAATATTTGGATTCAGCGACCCCAAAAACATTAAATATAATGATATCAAGTATTAAAAAAAATTTAGCACATTTGTAGCATAAAAACCTTATTTTGACTAAACTGCTAAGGGTTTAAAAATTTCAAATTAAAACCATTCAAAGTTAATTTATTTATAAAAATTGTAGAATTTTTTGTTCAAAAAGAGGAAGAAAGATGGTAGATCCATATTTATTTTATAGATTTAGAGCATTATGTCTAAGTAAATCTAAACCGTCGCCATTTTCTCAAACCCTCATAGGATTGTTGAGAATTTTAATTCGCACCCTCGATATTTCACGTCCCCCCTTTGGTTGGTGTGTGTGTGAGTGTATGCCAATCCGGCTGCGATGAACTCGATTTTTCCCCCTCCACTACTCCTTCTATAAAGTTTTTGGGGTCACCAAATTAAGTGGCAACTAGTTAAAGCTTCCCTCCGATTGCAAACGTTTCAGAAACCCAAAATGGGGGATCAATCCCTAAAACTAGTATCCGATTACAATGGGTTGTCCCATTTGAATCGGAAAGGATGAATGTCCGCATTCACTCTCCCTATTTATTGTCAGCGAATTGACTACTGCTATACTGAACATTTTGTCCAACAGTGTGTGAACATATAAACCATATACGCACAAAACGGACATTGTGAAAGGGTGACAAAAAAAAGAAGAGAAAATAGGGGTAACTCATTTTATATATAAGTATCAATGTAGAATATCAGTATTGTGTCCGTTACGCTCAGAAGTCTATAGATTAAGGGTTCGTTTTCGATCAAATTTCACGTTTCTCTAAACCCTATTTATAATATGATCAAGGTTGGTTTTGACAAGCACAGGATTAGCGTCCGTCGCAGAGAGTCTGCCTTCCATTCACGACAGACATTTCAAAACTTGTTGATATTTTGGAAAATTTGACTTTTTTATACTCTTAAAATCCTTTTTTGAAAAGCTATTTCATTAACTTGTTGTGACTCGTAACGTTTGAGATAGTAAATATTTTTATTTTCATCTTATCGTTCCATCAGGTTAGAAAAACCGTGATAACCTGATCCAATAATGAAATGTTAATGAATTCAATGAGTCTTTACATTGTGTTCAATTGCTTTTAATGTATATCATAAAGTACGCGAATCAAATTTTTTTTATCTGATAAAAACGACGTTTCATAAACATTAAGAATCATAGTAGCACATCATTTTCTCTCAACTTACATAATTTTATAAATAGTGTTAGTTTTTTTAAAATTAAATATGCATTTAGTTTTTTTTTGGGTACAATTATATACACAAAGTATCGTTATTAATATATGCATTATGAAATATTTATGTCTGGTTAATTAAAATGTAGATGATACTGATGAATTTTGTATACAGATAAAATTAAATTGAATTATGAAATTGTATGCAAATACCCGTGCAAATAAAAAAATGGAATTAATAAATTAGTATTACATAAAAAAATAGATAGGGTGATGATTAAAACTAATGAGAAAATTTTTTCTCAATTGAATACAATGCATAAAAACAAGATTTGAATTGAATAAATGAAAAGCATCATCAAACATATAATTTCGAAAAGTAAAAATTGGCAAACATTAAATCAATCTTGTAATCGAATGATCACACACGTGTTATAGCAATTGATGGGATATAGTACTTTGCAACTTTCCCCCTTTATAAAAGCAGGGCACTTATTGGGTGATTAAGAGGACAAATAGAACAACCCCTTTTTAGTGAGTATTATCATTTCACAATATAACCCACCCCAAAGTCGGAGGAGTCCCTATCCAAATCATTGCACGAAGAAATTCCGCTTCGTTTAATCGAGTTACCCCATTTGGTAATCACCCTCTGTGCGATGGGTTGCTATGGAGACCACGAGTTGTCCTGGCCTCCGATTGGCTGACTGCTTCATTCCCGGATGCTACAGCCATCCCCGCGACATCGCAATCCGAGAATAGTACTCATGATCGCCCCACACTCCAACTCTCTTGAATTTACACACGATCTTGTCATGCTGTATGGGAGCTGTGAACACGTGGAGAGCAATGTTCTTTTTTTCCATTTTTTTCAACTTATTTTTTTTTTATTTCGAAATTGCTGCTTCCAGCACGTCATTGTACAAACAGCAGTTCAGAGAACAAGAGGACGAGGGCGAAAATCAATATTGCAAAACAAGAAAGTGAATTGAATTTCATCAGAGTATCAGACGAGTAAATAAAATACTTTTTTTTTTGAAGTAAATAAACAAAATCGAAGCTATGTGTTTAAAACGAGGGGTAGAATTCAATTCATAGATTTGTTCTATACTATTCATACCACCCTTGTGTAAGTATATCAATCTTCCATGGCAAGCTTATAAGCTTCTGTAGTAAACTTGCAGCAATCATAATTTGGAATGTTGCACTAATTTTTTACGACAAGCTTGTACAGTTAACATTTTACTATCTCAGACAAGTTTTCCAAGTAAGTTTTATTGTATATACTATCTAGGTGAAGAATTACTAAGCTTCATCTACCAGGAAGCAAAAAAGAAAATTAATTTTTATAGAATCAGTCTTATCTGATTGTATATACAGATAGTTTATAGCCAACACTAAAACTATAATAAAGACCAATAATGATTTTATAAAAATCAAATAATT